CGTGCTTTTTTTCCTTCAACATGTGCTGGTTCAAGCCTTTCTGTCAGCCTCCAATACCAGGGCCCAAGGTTTTCTTGCCTACGCTATGCAGAACTTGCTCAGACTCTGCAACCTCGATTCGGCCGTCACCCAGCGCTCCCGGGATATTCAAGCGGACGAAAAGTATCGTCGTTGGTCAGAATTACCTGAGACTGTGCGCAATACATTGACCCCCTTTCTCACGTCTAAGTATACGGTCACAGTCGGTGCCATAAGATCGCATTGCAAGTTCCCGATATTTTCCACAGAGCTGACACATGGCGAGTGGTTGCGAAGTTTTGTGCAGGATCTGCTGCAAAGAGGAAGCGGTGACAACGCGCAGCTTATTTTTAGCGTTTGCAGTCGTATTGTCAAGGGTCAAGACATTTCAATCGCCAGCTTTCTCCTACCATTCGCCGTACTAAATCGTATAGTTGGTGGAACCCAGGAGGAGAGGCTGGACTTACAGGATGAGCTCACAACCATACTCTCCCATCCACTTCCTGAAGCAAGTAATCGGGTTCATGAAGCCATCATACTATGCAGTCAGGTGAGCTTTCCCTTCTGTATCCATAAGGTCTGTACATACTTGAGTTTCCCGCTTCTGACGATAGGACAGAGCGTCTTTGAAATTTTGGACTACCTTTCAAGGTGGCTGCAGGGGAAAAAGAAGCTCCTCAACAGCCTCAAGAATCATGCATCCCATACTGGCCGTTCTCACAAAGATTCTCATCGAGATTCATTATCCGAGACATATTCGTCTCAGGTCAAAGCTGTGGAAACCTTCTTGACCTCAGTACCTCCAGAAGTCATTTCGAAAAGAGCAGTCGAATGCAAATCATTTTCCAGGGCCTTATTCCATTGGGAACAGTATATCCGCCGGTTCAAAAGTCAATCCGACAAGAACGACCACACAAGCGCTGAGCTTCTCTACCAACATCTTCAAGTGATTTACAGTCAAATTGATGAGCCCGATGGTATTGAGGGCATTTCGACTCATTTGCACATGCTGAACATTGACCAACAGGTCCTCGAACACCGCAAAGCAGGAAGATGGGTTACTGCGCAAAGTTGGTACGAACTGCAAGTCGAAAAAGAACCCGACAACGTTGATGCACAGTGGAATCTTCTTACGTGTCTCCGAGAGTCAGGGCAACAAGGTAATCTCCCAATAAAGTGCTGCCATCAATGTTGTCGATACCTAATCCGGTTCAGATGCCATTATTGCTAGATTTGACACGCTCAACTCAGCAGGCTCAACCTCTAGATTTCTTCCCTTTGCTGTGGAAGCGTCCTGGATCACAGGAAATTGGGATAAGCTTCGCAGTTACCTCCAAATGCGCTCCCCGGAAATTACTGGAGACTTCAATATCGGGGTCGGATCGGCTCTTTGTGCGCTTCGACTTGGAAACAAGGCTGAATTCCGTAACATCATTCATGATCTGCAGCTCAGTGTCGCCAAATCGCTGACTGTGAACTCTGTCACTTCCCTACAATCTTGCCATGACAGCATCCTCAAGCTGCATGCCTTGACTGAAATGGAACTTATTTCCGATTGTGAGGGCAGCGAAAAAAGCTCGCTCGCTTGTATACATGATGTACTAAATCGGCGGCTTGACGTCCTTGGGGGATACATAGCTGACAAGCAGTACCTGCTTGGATTGAGAAGGGCCACAATGGAATTAACGTGGGATTCATTTCTACCATAAATGTTCATCTGAAGGGATGCTGACATGAATCACATAGGCATGGTTTCATGGAGTCTGATATCGCTGGTTCCTGGCTTACTAGTGCACGTCTGTCGCGAAAGGGCAATTACACCAATCAGGCCTATCACTCAATGCTTCGTGCAGCTCGCTTGAAAGATAGGTCAGCTACTATTGAACACGCCCGTCTACTTTGGAAAGATGGCCATCATCGAAAAGCCATACAAACGTTAGAGGGTGCAATAGCTGCAGATGAATTTGCCTCAGACACGTCCTCATCCGGTGGGTCGAAGAGCGAAAAGCAACAGAACTTGCTCGCTGCTAGGGTAGGTACCATTGCTTATCTCCTGTAAAATGGCACGAAGCAACTAATATGCCCCAGGCCCATCTGTTACTAGCGAAATGGACGGACCGAGCGGGACAGACCCAATCCGACGTGATCGTACAGAGGTACCGAGAAGCGATCAAACTTCACTCAAGGTATGACCGCACCATATCCAGGATTATCACACAGACTGACAGGGCAACAGGTGGGAAAAGGCGCACTACTACCTGGGTAAACATTACAACAAGATCTTGGAGTCTGAGAAGGCCAAACCCTTAGGAAAAGAGGCTCAGATATAGTAAGTGTATTTCTCTGATCTCCAACACTATGACTAAAGACTATTTCTAGCTTAACTGGTGAAGCCTCAAAACTTGTCATTGATAACTATCTTCGCTCCTTAGCGCACGGCAACAAATACGTATTCCAGTCACTGCCCAGAATTTTGACCCTTTGGCTAGAGCATGCTGCCACGGTTGATAAACCTTTCGATCCGAAAAGGGGTGATAATGAGTATTGGCCTCCCTCCTTCCCAGATACACTTTATCACTCGAAAAGACGCTGAACAGATTAGTAGGGAGTTCCAGACGCACACATTGAATCAACGGAAAAAAACTCTTGATGATATGCACTCACAGCTAAAGAAATATCTAAACCGAATGCCCGCGGCGCTGGTCAGTCATTCATCCGCTCCCGGCTTCTGCTGAGAGACCTGCTTACAATAGCAGCTGTTCACAATCCTTCCTCAAGTGGTCGCTCGGATATGCCATCCCCATGCCACGGTTTACGAGCTTTTAACCAGGATTGTAGCGAAAGTAGTCAATGCTTTTCCCCAGCAAGGGCTATGGACAGTCCTTGCGGTTGTCAAGTCTTCGTCCAAGGATCGAGCTTCCAGGGGCATCAATTGTCTTCATAAAATCACTGTAAGTGCGCGAAATCGCGAGGCTGATGTCACATATTAAATAATTTCAAAGGAGGCAAACAAAAAGTCCAAAACAGAATTACCCTTGGACATGCGGGGAATGATCAATCAAGGACAGAAATTCTCAGAGGAGATGCTCAAACTATGCACGGCACGAATTGAGGAGAAGGCGTCAAGGATCCTTCTTGCCCGACATCTTGGGTTCAGCCACAAAGTTGCCCCTTGTCGACTTGTTGTTCCATTCCAGGCGATGTTGACTCCAAGTCTTCCGGCCAGCCATGAGACCGAATATTTGAAGGGATTCAGGGCTTTCCCCAGAGACCCCACGACCATTGATGGTACGCCTCAGAGTGACTTGAGAGAATTGATTGGGATATCTAACGCTTCACAGCCGTACTTGACGATGCACAAGTTCTCAACTCGCTGCAGAAGCCCCGGAAAATCAGCATTCGAGGCTCCGATGGGAAAATATACAACGTCCTCTGCAAACCTAAAGATGATCTCCGCAAGGACCAGCGTCTGATGGAATTCAATAACACGATTAACCGCTTTTTAAAGAGGGATGTGGAGTCCAGCAAACGGCGCATGTGTAAGTGCCATTTCTAAAGCTTATTGTCCAATGCTAAGGAATTTTAGATATCAAGACTTACGCCGTTACCCCCCTGAATGAGGAATGTGGTCTAATCGAGTGGGTTGACAATCTGAGAACATTGAGAGAGATCATTATCAAACTCCTCAAAGAGAGAGGTATCATGCCGAACGTATGGGGCAGTCCAACAAACCAATCGTCAATTGATGTTAAACTAACACAAACAGTATAACGAAATCAGACACTATCTTAACGAAGCATGCTCAGAGGCGTCAAAACTTCACTTGTTCACAACAAAAGTTCTGCTTAAGTGAATATTCCCAATAATTTATACCCTTGATATCGATGCTCATTTCTCCCAGATTCCCTCCAGTTTTGCACGAGTGGTTTGTAGAAATGTTCCCGGAGACGGGGGCATGGTTTGCAGCACGGCTCCGTTATACCAGGTCCTGTGCAGTTATGTCAATGGTCGGATACGTCTTGGGGTATGCTGGCCTCAATTACAGTCTCCGTATGTTCAATTATACTGACATCAGAGTCGCGCAGATTGGGAGACCGGCATGGCGAGAATATCCTATTTGAGGAAGGCACGGGTGGTGTTATACATGTTGATTTCAATTGCCTTTTTGATAAGGTAAGGTAACTCTTTATGTTGTCCAGACACCCAAGACTGATTGGAACAGGGCTTAACATTCGACAAACCCGAATTGGTCCCATTCCGTCTCACCCAAAACATGGTCGATGCTTTTGGGGCCTATGGGTATAATGGTTTGTTTCCTGATTCTATCAAGGATGGAGCGTTCGCTCAACTCTTGTTCACAGGACCGTTCAGAAGGACATGTGAAATCAGCCTTCGCCTTCTGCGACAGAACGAGGATGCACTTATGACCGTGCTGGAGACTTTCTTGCACGATCCAACCACAGATTTCATCGGAAGAAAGGTAAGTAGCTCGCCTACAATGATTTCCCTATACTGACATGTCTCAAGCGTCGCACGCATGCAAGTGTTCCAGAGACCCCCGCTGGGGTGCTCGAGAATGTTCGCAATAAACTCCGAGGCCTTTTGCCCGGAGAGTCGGTTCCCTTATCAGTGGATGGCCATGTTGATGAACTAATTACACAAGCAACAGACAAGAGAAACCTAGCGGCCATGTATATCGGCTGGTGTGCTTTTTTCTGAACGAGAATTGATCCGCACCTCGATGTCGATTTGAGACTAGTGCAGCTGTTCATGAGAGCAACTGATTATTGCTTGGTTGTAAGGTTCAGTCAATTTGAATTATACATTCATGATACAAAGCATTTCGCATTCCATTCAGCATAATAAATCAAGCCTTTCCCTGGAGACCATTGTCATTAGGCCTAATAAAGCACGTAGAATGACCATGCATGTGCACTTCAATGAGGGACTGAGGTATGGTACACAATGTTTATTTTTCCAGGCTATTTCCTCGAGGCGTCCAAGCGATGAACTCGGCTCCTGCTCCGGCTTCTATCTTCGTCGCTATGACTGCTGTAACCATAACTGCTATAACTTGGACTGCGGCGTTTACGGTGCCTAGGGCTGTCCACGCGGATGTGCGCTCTTCTCCTTGCTGGGGACCTAGAGCGCGAATCTGAGAAAGACGACAATGAGCGACGGCGTGACCTAGAGCGCGACAAAGAGCGCGGTCGGTATAAATCATGTCGTTCCATGGGCCGCGAGCGGCCATGCTTTCTGGGGGGCGTAGTCCTAGGTACATTTGGAGGAATACGCGAAGACCTTTGATCTGAAGGCTCTCTGTAGTCATACCTGCGACGGCCAGAGCCACCCCGGCCATTCTCTGCTGGCGGCGGTGAACGTGAGAAGGCCCTCCTAGGCAGCACAATTGAGACACTCAGAACGGCACCGTCTAATTGCGCCTCGTGCATGTGCGATATCGCGGCTTCTGCATCCGCAGGATCGTGATAAAGAATATAGGCCGTGCCTCTATTTGTCATGACTGGTGGTGTAAGTTTATACGCATATATACCACCAGTCCAGAAAGTGGGTACTCACAAGCACGGTTCATGGGAAGCTCGAGACTCTTGATATCACCAAATGAACCAAAAATCTCTCTGAGGTGGGATGTGGTGACATTCTTAGTCAATTTCTCAACTATAATCTACGATGAAGTTGGCCGTCAGCAAGCTTTGGAGAGAAGAACACGGAATAGGTACGATAAAATAAGAACTGACCTTTGAACTTCTTGGGAGTCCACTGCTTGGACTCGGTGTACGGCTGTAGCTCCTATTTCTGTACCATCGAGAATCACGGCTTGGGCTGCGACTGCGGCTCGGGGATGATGTCCGAGAACGCGAGGGAGACCGAGACCAGCTTCTAGAACGACGTTTGTCGCGGCGGTCATTGTCATGCTGAGCGGACGGACTCCGGCTCACGGACCTTGAACCTCCTCGAGGGGACATCGAACGCCGTGATCGTTCTTTGGGTTCTTCGAGATCCATCTCACGCATTGAGCGACGTGGCGATCGGCCTTGAGGTGACCTGGAAGACATGACGTGGAAGAGACACAAAGCACCTGGAAACAGACGAGCACGGATCGCGTCAAGACGATGTCTAAAAAAGGGAAAATGGACTTTGGAGAGTAAGCTGCTATCGGGAGAGAAGATTGGCCCAATTCCAATGCAAGGGAAACCATACACTTAGTATTGGATGTCGGAAGGGGTTGTTAGGCGAAGGATGCCAGGTATCTAGATAGCTATCTAGTAAAGCGGTTGTCCAACCTTCCAGCTTAGCTAGCCATCATAAGCCGGGCCAAATTAATACATTGTAACCTTCTACCTCAAATCTTATAGCTTATCTTTGAGCTTATTCTCTTCCCAGACTACCCTGTATAACAGCGCCATTGTTAATATTATCATACAATAATGACATTGATTATGAAATAGATACAAAAATAGATCATGTAGATTACCATTTGATTGAGGCCTAAGGTTTTGATTTTGCAGACTCTCCCCATTTCTCATATTCTTCGAGGACATCATGCGTAATTTGTCTCTGCACTTGCTCAAGCGCATATGTAAAATGCTTCCACTTTACCTCCTGTTCTTGGCCAGTCTCCTCTTCTTCATCTAATGCTGCATCACCTGCAGTTTCGCAAATGCTCACAATTTCCGCCCCTGAATAACCTTCAGTTTGTTTGGCCAACTCCTCCAAGTCCACTTCGGGATGGACCACGGATTTGCGAAACCAGATGTTCAGAATCTCCTTTCTCGCCTCAAAATCTGGCAGGCCAATATACAAAATGTTATCCAGGCGACCCGGGCGCATCAGGGCTGGATCAATCACGTCAGGCTTGTTTGTCGCAGCAATGACCAACACATTTTTCAATTCCTCGATGCCATCCATTTCATTTAGTAAAGTGGTGAGCACATTGACACCTCCGTGAGATGAATTTCTTCGTGAAGCAATCGCATCGATCTCATCGAAAAATACGATACTGGGCCTCGCAGATCGTGCCTTTCGGAAAATTTCACGCAAAGCTCGTTCTGACTCGCCGACGTACATGCTCAAAATTTCAGCACCCTTGACTGCCAAGAAATTAAGACCTGCTTCGGTAGCAAGCGCTTTCACCATTAGCGTCTTAGAGCAGCCCGGGGGGCCATAGAGAAGTATCCCTTTTTTACTGTTCACATTGAGTCTTTTCATCCGCTCAGGGAACTGCATGAAAGGTCAGCGAGTCAAGAGGAGCGCTAACGGGCCGTTACTCACTTTGAGAGGTCTTTCCACAGCCTTTTGGAGACGCCTCTTGATATCATGCTGCCCGCCAATATCTGTCCACCTGACTTTTGGTGTTTCTAGGAAGACTTCTCGCATGGCGGTAGGACGAGTTTCCTGTAACGCTGACATAACATCCAACTCCTCGATATCCAGATCAACGGCCATGTTCTTCTCGATGTGCTCAACACCTGCCACTGAGGGAGGGGTTGATGTAACGTTGCAGGGCCTCGTCGGCGAACGAGATTGACATGACTGCCTCAGCCGCGCTTTGCGGCATACAAGCTGAAGTAACGCAAACAAATCAGCTCCGACATAGCCGTGCGTTTTCTCTGCAATCATGTCGATGAGCTCTTCGTTCAATTGACGTGATGAGCTTCCACAAATAGCCCGCAAGATTTCAGCTCGGTCTTGCGCTGTGGGTACCTGCATTTCAATCTCGATTGCTAGACGGTGGGGTGTCCTGAGTGTGTCATCAACGTCGTTAGGATGGCGAGTTGCTGCCACAACCAGCACAAGAGCACTTTTGGCCAGATCTAGACATTCACATAGTACTGATGTTAAAGATTGAGATTCTAGTGATGCTCGTTTAGGAGCAATGAAGTCGAGCTGATCAATTATGATGGCACTTGGCTGGCAACGTACTGCCTCTTGAAAGACATTGCGAACCTTAGCTTCCGCATCACCCATGTTTCGGCTAAACATGGATGAACCGAGACTAAACGTCTTTTTCCAACCTGCTGCTTGTATCTGGTGCAGAAGGGCAGATTTGCCTGTCCCCTTAGGTCCATATAGTAGGATACCCCGACTGTGCTCATAGAAAGATGGCATTCTGAATTTTTGCGCCAAGTTGAAATCAGCAAGACTCTCATTGATGCTGTCAATCTGGCGAGACAATCCTCCTAAACCGGAAGACTTGACTTGTATTACCGATGGCACCTCTTCTGGGGCGCCATCAAATTCATCGCCGATCTTGATTTCCGAACTGTCGGTAAAGCGAAATAGAGTGTTGGCAGGATTTCTAGTCGCTGTCTTGATATTGGCCACTTTGAAACTTCTTCGCTGCCCTATTAGCTCCAGATCAAAAGTCAGACCAACAGCGACAAGTTCGCATCTCGAAAGAGGGAACCCCAAAGCAAAAGCCCAATGGTCTCTGTCCTTGGGCGGAATGGGGCCGCCGTATCTCGTGATGCGATCTACATCAGAGCAATCTGAAATGTAGACGCGATCTATTCCTTCCAATAGATCTTCGGCCCTGTTGATAGATACCTTTTCCCCGACTTTTATTTCATAACAATCTTGGAATGTCCTTGAAGTCTGCACGACGGTACTCTGTATATTTTCGGCCGCGGTCCAAGCTACGGCGGTCTTTGGGCTTCCGCCGGGCGTGCTCACACTGCAAATGTCTCCAGCTCGAAGTTTGAGGGCGGCTAGAGACGATGATGAGAGATAGATACGAAACGCATCTTTATGGTCACTCCTCGCTTGTTTTGACAGCGGTCGAACAGTAAAGAGACGAGCGTCGGACATTTCAAGGGATAGAAAACTGGGGTTTCCCAAGAAGACCAGTCTCACTCCAACTTTTGCTGAATCCAATATCTGTTGACCTGACGGGACCAGGAAGGCAGATTATAATATTGGACGCCTTTAACTTCCTTTTCCCTTTCAGTGTAAGTCCTGACATAGTCATTGCGCACATAACGAAGGAATCGTTGTAAGACATACTATAGTTCTGAAGGGGGAAATAAATGAAAAGTTGAATTCACCTTGACGTACTAGATCGACTGGTTAAAGTCTGCATAATGCAAATATCTGCCTTCCTCTTTATCTTATATTTTTATATACTAAAAACTTTTAATATTTCTTAAGGGAACACAGATTTAGTGATTAAGTAATACTTCCAGGTACTCAGGTGGGTCTTCTTACCTTGGTCTCTGTACCCTTTCCGCCTTGGTCGAGCAAAGACGCTGGTTGTATGAATGTGGATTGCGGATTTTGTCTCAAAACCTATTTCAATCAGGGAAGCCTGTTGTATGGAGATTCTCTTGGTTTATGCTTTAACCTCGGAAGTTCAAGTAGTTTCTTAGACATACTTACATGAAGGTGCCGTGAAACTGAATTTGGTAACTCTAACGCCAGTAATCAAAGAACTAATAGACCAAAGAATCGAAAAAGCGCCTAGCATATCTCAGTGGATGACTATGATAACACTGGCGGATTCCAACTGTAACGGGGTCTTGGTCGCATGAAGGGTCTCCGGAGTGATTAACAACCGAAGGTAAGGTAAAAGGAACAAATTCCCCCTGTTAGAGGTTGAGTGAAGGATGACGCCAAATGAAAGGAAGCCCGAATCAGATTGAAGAACATTAGGAACGAAAGCGCATGCCTAACAACATTTACCGCCAGTACTGCCAGACGTCCCCGATCCGTGGTGGTCTATATTGACCCCCTGTGACCCCACTTGTTCAGTCTTCGATGTATCCATGCCCTTTTTGATGGCAGAGGCGAGGCTGTAGAATGCTTTCTCGATGTTGATATTGTTCTTGGCAGAAACCTCGAGGAATGGGATGCCTAGCTCATCAGCGAGTTGTTGGCCTTGTTCTGTGGAGACGGCTCGCTTTTCCTCCCAGTCGCACTTGTTACCAATGAGGATTTTGTGTACCCCTTCACTTGCATGTTGCTCAACATTTGAGAACCATGTACGTATATCTGAACAAAATCGAAGCAGCAGTCAGCGTCAAATCATTATTCAAGAGTGGAAGGAACTTGCTTTGGAAGGAGCGTTCATCCGTGACATCATATACAAGAAGTATTCCCATGGCGCCTCTGTAATACGCTGTTGTGATAGTTCGAAATCGCTCCTGACCTGCGGTATCCCATATTTGAAGCTTCACGCGTTTGCCGTCCAGTTCAATTGTGCGAATCTTAAAGTCGATTCCAATCGTAGTGATGAATGAGGGGGTGAACGAATCTTCACTGAATCGCAGAAGGCAGCATGACTTCCCCACGCCGGAGTCCCCGATCAACAACAGCTTGATCTATGACAACCAAAGCAATTCTCAGTTATCAAATAATCAGATCACAAAAGTGATTTAAGCTTACCAGAAAGTCATAATTTCTTGTGCCAGCCATTGTGGTAGGTGGATTGGATATGAGTTCAACTTCGAGAGAGTCGATATTTGGGTACGATTCCGATCGATATTACGGGGATGAACCTCCGTAGTCGTGGGTAGAACGACTCCCCTATCAAGATAATCGTACTTCCCCCGCCCTTCCTTCTTACTCTTGGTGATTGTCCGCAGAGAAGAGGCAGCCACCCAGAGGTATCAGGACTTTCGTCAGATTGGCAAATGTTGAGGAAATCTAAGAAGATAGATTCCTGATGTGAAATGTCAGAAATTCCTGCCTGGCACTTGACTGATCCTGCCCCGAACCTCTCTAGGCCCGAAATGATAGAGAAAAGAAATATTCAACAAATTGAGTGAAAGATTACGGCCTAATGTTGTGTGGTTATTTGGCAGCAAGGCAAATCATCTGAAGGGTTATCTAAGGGGGTATAACAATTCTGAGAAAGTTGTAATAGTAGTTTGTACCTACCTCTCTAGAAGCTGGGAAAACATACCTTGCTGACTACAACCTTCATGTACAGATTGGTGCCATATCTCCAGGTAGATATGTATCTAAATAACTCATTTTATATTCTATCTAGTGAACAGCTCCTTGCTTACACCTAGGATCAATACCTCTCTATAACTAGTATGAATACATTTATGATACCTCCCTTTATGAAATTCTATCTAGGGTTCAGATATTAGGGGGTTGTATACTAAAAAGCAACTAACGATAACTAATTCCCCCAGTCCCTTTTAAGTAAGCATAGCATACTCTTCCCAATACCTACTCACTGATACGCAATACGCTTTAAGCATAGACCTTCACAGAATTCCCTTGCAAATTACCATTATAGTTTGATATTTTAGGTTTTATATATACAAAGATTATGTGACACACTGAGAAATTATTGCATGTGAATTCATCTTATTAACAGAGCAGCCAGTTATACAGGTTTTTACTTGATCCATCGAGAATATACCCATCCAATTCTACTTACAACCTGAGTTTGCCTCTGTATTCCGATATGTATATCTAGCAAGTCACCAATGTCATCTTGAAAATCACGGAGATCAGCTCCTCTCAGAACTGTTGCTGCCTTTTGTAGGAGAATATCTGCACCACAGACCAAAAGACCATGATCCTTATAGGTCAGAACACCACTATCAGTAGGTGTTGACAGTGTCAAAGTACGGTCGACATCCCTAATACAAATCAGCACAGATCGGTAGGTTGGTTGTATTTTGAATACCGCAAAGCATGTCTCAACTCATGTTTTCGTCTTCCTACTTGCAAGCCCTTGCGATTGCCGAAGACACCGACTGCCCATCTCAGAAACGCGTACGTGACCATGATCCCTGGGGTGAGGCTCACAAAGCTTGCGCATGTCATGTCAGCTCTGCATGGGCTCAGTTCTTGAAAGACAGCCGTACCCAAAAACAAGCTCCTGGCTTTTCAGCAATGAATCGATTCCACCAATCGCTATTTCAACATCCACCTTCGTTTTCTGAAACTGGATCAGAAGAGCCCGTACTAAATCACCACGTACAGTTCCAATGAAGGGCTGCCGCAGATCTTTTTCGTACGCTCGTAGTACTGGGGTCAGATCACCTTCTCGAATCCTCGCGGTGAGTGTGTCGATCTGCTTCGCACCAAGCTCTTTCTCAGATTCGGGTCGATCGAAGACAAAATCAAGCACCATCCGCTCTAAGCTGGCCCTATCCGCCTCGAGACTATTCTTACTCATTAGTGCAATCTCGCTCTTTTCGTCATGTCGAATAGTCCCGATGAGTCTCCTCGTAGGCTCAACGACCCAATTACCCCAGAATTCACAAGCAGTTGATCCGATGTTGAAAATCCATCTTATGAGCTCGTGCTGCCGACTGCTTAACAACCTCAGGAAAGTGCTCGTCGAAAGCACCCCCACTGAGAGCGGCAGCCAATAACGTACCAAGCACGAGGGACGTCCATGGTGACTAATTGCCCTCTTTGAAGAGGCGCTATAATCTGGCAATAATTCGTCGAGTATATTGAAAAGCTGCTCGATAACGTACTCGGGCGTCTGGAGTAAATTTGCCATCTCAGATTGAGACCGAACAATTTCCCTTTCGACTGCGGTAATAACCCTCTCCTCAAACTCATATTCTGTGCCTTCACGTACCACCCTTTGCAAGAGAACCTTCAACGTGAGTACACTCCTGAACACAGCATCACGCAAGCGGTCATCAGTGGCGAACTCTGAGTCAATTTCTGTTTTGAGAAGCGAGCATTGCCCCATGAGAAGGCCAATGCCACTGGCGTTTCTCATTCGCATTGCTCCCAGAGCTTTGCATTTTTGTCTAATCTCAGACCTATGCGCAGTAAATGAAGATAACAGCCTTGCCCGCAGCGAGAGCATCGCGTGTGGGTCAAGGCATTGGTGCACTATGTTGTAAAATCTGGCCCACGAAACAGATGCAGTTGGCGTGACAGCTTTTCGGGCGCCGTCCTCTTCCATGTGCAAAACAGACCGTCTCAGGAAATGCCATAGTCGACCTGGAGCCGTCTGTACTGCGTATGCTCCCGTATACCAATTTGATCCTGAAACATCGGCCCAGTACAACGCCTCTTCGCCGATACTGTGAGTATGTTCTAGAAGAACATTGATGGTTATGCCTAAAACCTGCAAAAATGCCTTCGCAGCCAAGACCCACGAGACATCCAGCACATATGCGACAGTCTCATCGGGCAATTCCTGTCCCTTGAGCAGGGAATGAGGGAACTTGGAGATCAAAGCCCTGACCTGAGCGGCTCGTAATAACGGTTCAGATACAGATTGCACAGAAAGCGACTGGATCAATTTAAGCAATGTCGCTATATCCTTCGAAGTTCCATATGGGTATTCAGACAGGATATGGGTAGGACTAGGCAGACCATCATTGATTTTCTGTTGCACTCTGTCGAGCTCTGCGCTCAAGTGATGAATGTGACTACCGATTGTGAGCACATTTCCCGAGTGGTTGCAGCAGAAGTAACAAACCGATTTATGATGATCATAATGTATCTCTATGGGTGCAATAACTCCGCAAGTTATGTAGATTTGCAGCCATAATAAGAAAGCTTAAAAGATAGGATGGCATGGCGTCATACATACTAGACTGCCTGCGTTATTATTATAAGGCAAACAATACAAACTTCCTGTAGGTAGTACCCTACAGGTACAGGTGAATGGGCTGCTATCTAGCGCTGGAACTATGTAGATATCTCTAATCAAATAGAGGGAATTCAGTATTGAATACTAAAGGTGCTCCTGCTTATCCCCCTATTTGGTATAAGAAATTGACAACTAAGAATCTCACCTACAGAAGTGTATTCAAGTCAAGTTGTGAGGCAATGGTGTCTAATGTCAATGCAACATTAGAGTTATTCTGCTCTCCAGCTATCAGCAAAACTGTCTTTGTACTTTTATTAAGATGAAATAATGACTTGATATATAAGGATCTATATCTTAACCTGAAATAATCGGGCAGAGCTGCACAAAGGTCTTAATAATTATAAAGGTACTCCGTATAGTCTATATCGTGGTACTTGTTTCTTACTGGCTGTAATCTAGGCTGTACGCTAGAAGGCTTAGATAATCGCCAACTTTTTGGGTGGCCAATAACGTAGTAGTTATGGGAAGCTTTGGAGAAGTGATCTCAGGGGTGAAGAAGGGGCTAGGCGATAATAATAAGTTTACGAGTCTAAACAGAAAAAGTTAAGAAAAAGTCTCGCCACCCGGGAATGGTTGTCCTGTCCGACCGTCCGACGCCTTTTAGTAACCACTAGCTCTCCCTCCTGAAATACCATCACACCCTCCAACCAACAATAATTCTACCAGAACAGATCGAATTCCGTTTGCTTCCCTTATTATTGATGGAAGGATAGGATTTCAGCACCCAGCCATCTCTTATACCACGATATAGGTGCGATATCAAATACAATGTGAGTTGCTCCTCCCTGTCAATTGGTTCGACCATAGTCTTGACAAACGTACAGGAACTCGACACTATACTCGACGTCTCCTGGGACTTATTGGGAGCAATATGAGGAAGTTTCCCGGCTCAATACACATCTCAATGTCGTGGAGAGACTTTGGTCCGCGTGGTATGCCTGGATGCAAAATGATGTCCTTGCAACTGGCATCATGTCGTTTGTGATGCATGAGATTGTCTATTTCGGCCGTTCTCTTCCCTGGATATTCATTGACACTTTGGGCTTGTTTAAGAATTATAAAATCCAGAATGTAAGAGGATCCGATCTCAATGCCTATCGCAAGACCCTAACTTGGCTACTCAGAATAAAATTCCTTCACTTAGGGAGCAATGGGATTGCGCCAAGTTTGTCCTTCTTAGCCACTTCACCGTGGAACTTCCGCAGATTTGGTGGGTGCCTCAATTTAACCGGTCTTCACGGTGTGCTTCTAACAATATGTCTACAGGCTTTTCCACCCCATGGCTCAATTCTTCGGTCTGTCTACGTCGGTTCCTTTTCCCTCTATTTGGACCATGATGTACCAGATTGCCATTTTCTTTGTTCTTGAGGATACATGGCATTATTTCTCTCACCGTGCCCTCCATTGGGGCCCTTTGTACAAGGCTATCCATAAAATCCACCACCAGTATTCGGCACCCTTCGGTATGGCCGCCGAATATGCGTCGCCTATTGAGGTTATGATTCTTGGGTTTGGGACCGTTGGATGCCCCATTCTTTGGTGTGCATTGACTGGCGACCTGCATATCTTTACGATGTATGTCTGGATTGTCCTACGGCTCTTCCAGGCCATTGATGCGCACAGCGGCTATGAGTTCCCTTGGAGTCTCCATCATTTCTTGCCTTTTTGGGCTGGAGCTGATCACCATGATCTTCACCATGAGAAATTTGTCGGCAACTATTCGAGTAGCTTTCGGTGGTGGGATTACCTTCTCGACACTGAATACACGCCCGAAGCTCTTAAGCGCCGAAGGGAGGGCAGAATTACAAAAAAGGCTCAGTGAGCACTGCTGTCATTGAATCATGATAGCCTTTGCCTGTCCTGCTTGGGACGCATGCCAACTGCTTTTGGTCCTGTGTAATGGGTACCAATGTGAGAGGGAATAATCATTTCATCCTCTTTTGATGTCTTTATTATAATATGTATGATGACTGTGGTTGCTAGGTTCATGAACTGACTTATTTAACCTAGCAGTCATCTCATCTCATTCATTGTTTTAATGCTCTGATTGTAATTTGGTTTTTTTTTTTTTTTTTTTTTTTTTTTTTTTTTTTTTTTTTTTTTTTTTTTTTTTTTTTTTTTTTTTTTTTTTTTCATGTATATATATCAATTGAGTTATGTGATATAGATAGAGAATAGATATATGAAATTGTTAGGGACACCCCCCGCCCCCAACTTAGGGAGTCTAGGGACACACCCTCCCTGCTATAATTTAGTTAGAATTGATCATGTAACCGCTACTGGTTGCTGCAATCCTAACTTTTGGTTAACTATATAAAACTGAGAGGCTTTAAAATCATTGGTTTCTCATCAGAATATTTATTTACTTCTATTGTGAATCAGAATCTGGCATATCTTATAAATCTACCACTATAATCATACCACAACTATAAATAATCATGAAGCTATCTTATCTACCCTGGATAACTTATAGTTATGCCCTGGTTATCTATAGTTCTATATAGCCCTACCTGTTGTGTGTTAAGTCATGTGACACCATTATCTCTCTAGCTATTAGCTGGGCATAGTAAATAAGAATGACAACTATCAACCTTATAATACTAGCATAAATATACTTAGCCGTACCAAATGGTAGCATGTCCTGGGCATCCAGGAATTAATTAGGGATAAGCTAATTAATTAATCTTATTATTTATTTTATCTATTCTAAAACATTGAATAACAAGTAGTATAGTAGAGGACTTCTCTGCACCTGTTAAATAATTCCACCATTATCAGTTAAATGACTTAAATCTGCAATTCTGCATTCATGCATTGCACCACCTTCCCATTTAGGAAATCAATACAGAATCTTAAGTTCTACCTACTGTTAAATCACTACACCCACCTTATTAACTCTATTAATTAACTTATTAATTCATTAAACACCTTACATCTATCAGCTTTAATCTTTCATTCATCAAATCTGTTTAAGTAACCTTTTGTTTTTCAAGAATTACAGTTCATTTTCAGATCCTGCATATTGTCATTCTATATAACCTTCCTACATATTGCTGCTAGAGTTGTATAACTAAACTACTAAAATCAAATCTAACCCTTACTGAACTTGCAGCAGTGAGGGTTTGGTTTCTAGCCTAGGGAATTACCTTAGTTTTAGTTTAGATAGGGTAAAACTAATTTAAGTTTAGTTAAAACTATTAGTTATAGTTTTTATAGTTTTATTAGATTAGATAATGATCTAATTAGAAATAATACAGAAATATTATATTACTTAGTTATATTATTCTTAGTTATATTAAAACTATTATAGGTGTGTGATATATAGTCATTTCCTAATCTAACTGTAGTTAGATTTAGTATATTTAGATTATCTTATTAGATATAAGAGAGGCTATGTGGTAACACTCATGTGAGGCACCACCTTATCTTCTGCAGAGTCTGTATATATCTTAGGAATGATTAATTAATTACTACAATACCATGCCTCAAGGTGCTACCATGACAGGTTATAAGCTAATATAATATATAAAATTCACTATTAAGTATAAATAATTCTGATATTTATATATATATTTATATATTTTATTATATTTTAAGCTATAAACTATAAACTTACCTAATTTAACTTAAATTTATTATTTATTAAGTTAGGATAAAACCTTTATATATAGAGACTTATATAAATAATATTTTATACTAGAATAATTAGTATATAAAGATATACTATAACATCTTATAGATATATAAAATATTAGTTTTAAATAATAGTCTATCTAACCTAAAACCTAACTAAATCTAATTATAGTTAGTTAGTAGGTAATTTATAACTTAGCTAGAAATAGTTTAACTATACTGAGCTTTAAGTTTTATAGTCAAACTTACACTAAATTAGAATAAATTAGGTTTAATTTTAATTTCTAAAATTTAGACTTAAAATCAGAGTAGTTTAGTTATAACTAGCATTGGACTTGCCTGAACTTAGACTAAATATAACTCTAATACTAACCTTACTAGTTAAAACATAGACCTTAATAGCTAACCTTATAGTTCTAATTACTCTTTAAAATCTAACTAGCCTGTTAGGATACTATAAGGTAATAGTCAGTACTAGATCTCCTTCTAGAACTCTAGCCTAATATTAGGGTGATCATTCATACAGTAGGGAGTACCAGAGTAGAGCCTCTAAATTATATAAAGGTAAGGGGTAGGCTAGCAGCCACCCTATATATATCTTATTAATATTAAAAGGTTCCTGTCCCTTTTTATATTTCAACCTAAGCTAGGAGGAGTGTAGGGGTCTAAATACCATATATAATAATAATAATAACTACTAGATATTATTATATATCTTCTAGACTCTATTAAAGTTAAATATAAACCTATTAGTAGTATTATACTATCCCCTACTTAGATCAAAGTTCATCTATAGAGATCTTAGTTAATAATTATTATAGACTTAGTGAGCACCTTTTATATTATATAGATTTAACTATTACTAAGATATATTTAATTACCTAGTCTAGTATTTAGATATTATTATTCCTTTATTTATTATTATTATAGAATTAACTAAATTATTCTTTATACTTTTATCTTAAAATTATTATAGTAGTAGCTTAGTATATTCTTCATTCAACTTATAAGAGATATTATTAGATTCATTTATTCAATAATATTAATGAGTAAGTTACCTAAGTAATTAGTAAGTATTAAGTAGTATATAAAGAATTATAGTAAATATCACTCTCTCTCTATATATATATAGATATATATAAGTAAATTAATAAAGGTAGAATTAACTAATAAATATAGATAAATAAGTATCTACTACTAGTATATATTCCTTAGGTATAAATACTCCTACCTAACCTTTTATACTTTATTATATATAAGGGTTATATATAATCTTTAATATAGACTTAATTATTTATTAACTATTTAATTTATAGATTACTTGTAGCTTTACTATTTCTAGATTGATTTTATATTTTTTAAGTTATTTAGTATTATTTTAGGTAGTCCCTATTTTCCTTTATAATTATTATATTTCTCAAATATAAGGGCATACTAATAGCTATCTATATAATAAGTCTTTTTTATAATAAATTTAATAGTGTCTTATTAAGCTACTTAATATTAGTTATAAGTAGGCTTTAAAAAATAATACTAATAGAATTAAAAAGATTACTTTAGAAGTAAGTATACTAAAATATAATTATTCTATATTATTAAAGACTTAAATTTAAAGACTTAAATACTATAAAGTATATAAGTTAAATAAGAATAGTATAGGAACTTTTTTAGTAATATATATCTATTCTAAAGTATATTATAGGTTAATAATAGTATACTTTCTTCACTAGAGTCTATATAAATTATATCTAGAATAGTAATAATATTACTTTCTATTCTTTCTATATTAATAAGAATTATAGCTAAAGTCTATATTTTAATATATATAAACTTCCTTCTCTTTATTAATATTTATATATAGCTAACATAGATAGTCCTATTCTAAAGAAAGATTATTAATAATAAATAAAGAGGGTAATATAACCTATAATTAGTGTTTTACTAATATTAAGTTACTAAATTAAAACTATCACTATCAGAGACTTCTTATAAGAAAGATATATCATATATATAATAATATCTATAAGACTTTTTTATTTAAGTTAGGACTAGCTACTACTATCTATTTAAAAGCTACTTAAGATTTATGTTTTTTTAAAGTTATTCTTTAATTCTTCGAATTTTATTATGAAAGGCGTACTTCCTTTCTATAAAGATATATGAATAATATGATATTAATAGGTATATATATGATTTTTATAAAGTTTGAAATGTATAATAATATCTAGTAGTTATTATTAATTATATATATAGTATTTAGACCTCTATATTCCTTATAGTTTAGGTTAAAATATAAAAGGGTTAGAACCTCTTAATATTAGTAAGATATATATAGAGCAGCCACTATCCTAGTGAGCAGCGACTACCTAACCAACGGCCGCCTTTGCAGGCTGACGCCGCCATACATATATATCTTCGGCACCTAGGCTAGGCCGTCCACCCGTAGATTCCCGGGTAGATTCCCCTATAAATTCCCCTATAAATTCCCTCGTAGATTCCCTCATGGACCTGATTCGGCTGGGGCCGAAATCAGTGAGTGCCGCTACGCTGACTCCCTTGTTGATCCATCCTGGCCGGGGCCGAAATCACCGGCTGCCTCGCTTCCCCCGTGTATGCCCTCACGCCTGCCTAGGTGCCTGCACAAGCCCATTCCCACTAGATGGCCGCCAACTCATTCGGATGTCGCAGATTCCCGGGCCTGCGAGGGTTCCGGGGGCGCCACCGCCGAGCGGTTTGCCGTGTCGGCAGGCCGGTGCCGCGCAGACGCGCAGGCCGGGGCCGCAGGCAGTGGCGCCGCACCGCTGGGAGTGACTAGTAGTATGCGATAGTATGTGATAGCGGTCTGTCAGCCATCGCCTGCTAGGGCTGTCAACGGCCTGGCGCTGCTGGGGGCGCTCGGCTCGAGCCATGTCGGCTGGGTGGCTTCGGCCAGATACGTCAGCCGGCCGGTGCTCAGCATGAGCCGCGCGGTCCGCCGAATGTACTGTCTCTCCGTCAAGGCCTCTGTTAGGTTCCGGGGGGTCCCTTCTGTCCATACCGCGCGCCGGAGTTCGTCATATCGGGTGCAGCCGAATAGCACGTGGTGGATCGTTTCCGGGGCCTGCCTGCACGGGCAGATAGGGTCCTCAGCCCTGTTGATGGTCGTAAGATAGTGATTCAGTCCGATCTTCCCAGTGCGCATCTGCGCCACCACGCTCCGCTCCACCGGGGTGAGATCATCGTAATAATTATAGAAGGTAAGATTATTAATCTATATATCTATTAAAGTATATAAAGTACTTAAAGAGTTTAATAATCTCTTATTCTTATATAATAAACTTTTAAAGATAACTTAAAAGGATTAGGAATCTACTAAATATTTAGGAGTATATTTAAAGTAGATAGAGAAGGATATCTTAATAAAATAATATACTTAATAAATAAGATTTTAAGAATATATTAGTAATATACTAATAGGAATTAGTTAATCTATATACTATTAAAAGAAGTTAACTCTAGAAAGTAACTAGAGTAAAATTAACTTAACTTCTATAGATAATAAGCTAAATAGAAGAATAATATATAATCTATTAAAGAATAATTAAATCTAAAGGGATACTAATAGAAATAATATAAATTTTAATTTACTTTTTATAGTAGTAGTTCTAGCTTATTAGGAATAATTAAAGAAGGATAAGTTATCTATTATTATAAGAATATTAAGATAGAAGAGTTATTATTTATTTAGTTAAAAACTAAATACCCTAGAATAGCTAGTTATAAATAGAAATTATAAATATTTATTTATTTATTAGTATTATTTATATATTAAGATTAATCTAGGCTTTCTTAACTTTATTAGTATCTTTAATAGGAGCTATACTTAACTATCTTAGCCTTTATCTCTATCTAAGGGTTATCTATATCTATATAAATATATTCCTAATATATTCTTTTATACTTATTAGCTTTATCTATCTCCTCCTTATTATCTTTATTCTTGGCTATAATTAACTTAAGAATACTAATTTAGTATCTAATAACTATATTAAACTTTAAAAGATTATTATAAATAAGATATTTATAACTACTAATATCTAGAGAGGAGATTAAGCTTTAAAAGATATCTAACTTAACCTACTTAATCTAGGAGTTCTTAAAATTTATAATAATAAATAGATATTCTTAATAATTACTTTATTAAGTAGTAATTAATATATATTTATTATTTTTTATTAATTTAGATATAATTATAATAGAAAAGCCCTAAGTAGTAGTTAAAGAATAAATAACTATTTTCTTTAAGAGCTTTTTAACTTATATTTTTATTTTATAAAACTTCTTAGATAACTAGTTATAAATAAGAGTTTATATTTATTTATTAGTAAGGAATCTCCTATATTAATATAATATTATATTAATTATTCTAGAGGTATTCCTAGATATGACTCTCCTCTAAATATATCTTTATATTAGGTAAGTAAAGAACTTAGCTATTATAAATCTATTATTACTTTAATATTTTCTTTTAATTCTTAAATAATAAATAGCTAAGACTTTTTATTAATCCTTCTAGAGAGTATAGTATATTAAAGCTATTTAGTAGATATAAAATTAATAAATACTTATAGATTAGATTCTTTTAAATCTGGTTTAATCTAGTTTCTAAAATTAATAAGATAGATAGTAGTATACTTTATTCTATATTTTTTATAACTATCTATCTTATAATTCAATTAATATTAGGATTAAAGTATTTTAGCTAATCTTAATCTAAGGATAAGCTTATACTCTATAATTTTAAAAATCTATAGAGTAATAATACAGTACTATTTATCTAATTTAAGTAGGATTTAAACTTAATATAATATATATATAAATCTACTATTTAGTAGATAAATCTACAATTATTTAGATATTTATAAAAATTAAAACTATAAAGAAGGTAATAAATTAGCTAAATATTTTAATATAAATATATAACTAGAGCTATAATCTAATAATATATAAAGATAGACTACTATCTAAGAGGCTTTAAGTATAGTAAAAAAGTAAAGAATATTAGATCTAAGAGTATTTAAATCAATATTAATATAATTAAAATCTTTTACTAAAGTTCTAAGTTAATTTTTATAATATTAAGTAGTTTTTTTTATAGTAATTAATTCTCTTTATTACTATTATTATTAGAATTATTATAATTCTTTAAAGATTTAAGATTATTAAATACTTTATAATCCTTAATAGTAGAAGCCTTTAATAATTAACTAATCAGTGCTTTCTTATTTAATAATCCTTTATATTTCCTAACTACTTTTTATTATTAGATTTTAACTAGTTTAGAGCTATATAAGCTTAGATATTCTAGTCTTTCTATCTATAATTAAAATAAGCTTAATTAATTTAATACTAGATCTTCTATTTATATATTCCTTTTTTTAGGTAATTAGGAGATATAATAATAATATTTAAGTTAATATTTATTAGATTTATTTAGTAATTATTAGTTTTACTAAAAGATTAAAGCTATATCTAAGTATATAAAATAACTCCCTATATATACTTAGTAAAATAATAGACTATATTATTAAAAGTAGTTAGTTTATTATAATCTTCTTCCTAATAAGTATATAGAATAGGTTTTAAATTAGTAATAAACTTCTAGGTTAATATATTATTAAGAATTCTAGATTTAATATATTTAGGAGTTTTAACTAGGGAAGTAGTATAGTATTATATAATTTAATTATATTATATATATCTGTTATATTCTTTCCATTATTTATTCTCCTCTTTTATTTCTTTGAAATTATTTTAAATCTACTATTTAGTCCTTAGTCAATTTAGATTTAATACTATTATACTAAGATAGTAGCTCCTTTAATAGCTCTTTAGTATTTAAAGGGTAGCTGTATAAGATATAATTAGTATCTTAAAGCTATTTATATATATCTACCCTATCTCTAAAGGTAGTAATACACTAGGTAATTATTATAAAGTCCAATCTCTTTATATAGATTATCTTCTTAACATTTAAATATAATTCTAAATCACTATAGCCTAATATAACATTCTTAATTACTTCCTATATATTATCTATATATATAATTAKATCTATTATTATATATAGTATATTAGTATTATCTTTACCTACTTAATCTATTAGCTAGTTATATACTAGCTTTAAGGMTTTGCTCTAATTAATAGTTTAGATATATTATTTCTAGCCTAGATATTAACTTATTATTAAATCTTCTAGCTTATAAAGTTCTAATTCTAATTTAGTATAAAAGGTCTATAATTTATAATCTTTTTATATCTTTAATTATTTATTTAGTCTAGATATACTTATTAATATAGAATCTTTATTTACTAGCTTTATAGCCTAGGTAATATCTACTATTTCAATAATATAATTCTAATGCTGATTTATATCTTCTTATAATTCTTAAAAGGTTCTAGATAGGGAATATAAATTTAATTTAATTTCTTTATTAGGTATATAAAAGTTTATAAAAATATATAAAATAGTATTAAATTACTAAGGAAAACAGAAAACTAATAAAATTAATAAATAATAGACTAAAATAAATATAAAAATAAAAGCAGAGGCTTATAAGCTTATAACCTCTTAAGGAAAGTAAATATTAAAGCTACTAGAATTCTGTAGCTATCTAGAAGAGAGAGATACTACTACAGCTATCTAACTAAGGTAGATAGCCATTAGATTATTATAGGGCCATCTGCTTACTAGCAGAACCTCTAAGACATTCAGAAAATCCCTATAGATATAGTAATTATATAAAATAGTACTAAGTAAGATTTTTCTAATTACAATCTAGATTAATAGCTTTTAACTAGTCTATACCTAGAATTAGATTATATTTAACTATATTAGCTACTTCTATAAAATTTAGATAATTTTATAGAGTTAGTAATTTTAACTTCTAGATTTCTCTATCTATATAATATTACTTTATAGCTATCAATAGCTTTATACTAGTTATAATAGATTTTCTATATTAGATAGGAATTCTTTTACTTATTATTAATAAATAAATATATACTTAGCTTTATAGTTAATTAATATTTAAAATTAGTAGTAGCTTTCTTTAATAAGAATATAKGTAAGATAGGCTAGGCTAATACTTTACTACTATTAGAATCTTTTCTAATATCTAGTACTACTATAATATAGAATAATTTAGTTTTTAAGTACTTAGGAATCTATAATTTAATATAATACTTTAGCTAGTAGCTATATTCTCTATATCTATTATAGTATAGGATAGGATATTCTTGTAAAAGAAATATAAATATTTTTACTTCCTAGGTTCTAATCTATAGTTCTTATTAGAATTCCTATTATTTCTAGACCTATAGTCTTTAGTATAGCCTACTTAGATATTATAAGGTCTAGAATTCTACTAGTTATCTATTCTAGTTAATATTTTATTATATCTTTTTAATAGGGTGTTTATTCTATTATACTATCTTTAATAATTACTAGGTAAGAAATATATACTTCTAATAGTTCTGGTAAGTTAGTAAATGTAGTAGCTTTACTTTAGATAATTAGTAAAATATAAGTATATTAGAAGCCTTTATTAATATAGTTAGATAGTAGTTTTACTAGTTAACTATAGATATTATTAATATATAGAGAGAGAATTCCTATATAATCCAGTATTCTAACTAGATAATAAAGAAATATTAAATAACTACTACTTTATAAAGCTATTCTAGGACAGGGACTAGATATTACTAAAAAGTCTTAGAAATCTAACTATCTAGGATATTTATTTATTATTAGTAGGGAAGGGAGCCTCTAAATTATATAAGGCTAGTAGGTAGGCTAGTAGCTACCCTATATATATCTTATAAGAATTAGGATGTTTCTAATTCCCCTTTCATAATTTAACCTAAACTATAAGGAATATAGAGGTCTAAATACTATATATATAATTAATAATAACTATAAGCTATTATTATATATCTATAGATATTATGAAAATTATATATATATCTATTAATATTACATCCTCCCCTGCTAGAA